GAGAGAGAGAGGGAGAGAGAGAAAGAGCAGGAGAAGGGGGCTCTGTGTTATCGGTTGGAGAGACACTAATTGGCTTTTGCACGCACATTCTTCAAGTCTAGAAATATCTTCCGCTGGGGGCGGTTGCTGCCTGGGGAGTGTGCTGATCCGGGCCGGGAAGGTGCTGGAGCCGGCTGAAAAACCTTATCTAGATGTAGGTTATTGTTTTTACTTTATGTAGGAAGTAGAACATCGCTCCAGAGGGTAAAGGTGATGGTTTACGGAGTTAGCTGGATAGGGCTGTGCAAAGATTGATTTTGTTTCTACGTCCTCTCAGGGGGAATGCTCCTATGTATCTATCTTTAAGTCCTGGGTAGGACCAACTCCTTAGTTTGTATCACACTGAACTTTCTACTTTATGAAGCCAGAGGGGCAACATTTAGTCCAATTTAATGCCTCAGTTGTGAGACAATGCTTTCAATAAAACCAGATTTGATTCATAGTTTTGCTTCCCCTTCTCCCCCAAGAGCTGTAATGTAAAAACCTCGCTGTTCTTCGTAAATTAGCTTGTGAAATACAGGTTTAATAAATATCGTTTACATATTTAAGCAAACCTTTGACTCTTGCTTTAAAAGGGAACACATGAATAAATGCTCTAAGTATGATTGCAGCAGAACTGCTATTAGTAAAGCCCTGTAATACAGTGTTTGCAAATTGAACACTAAATGTATCAGCAATAATCACTGGTCTTGACAAGATGGAAGTAAAATATTTCATTTAATTAATCTGAAAACTACCTAACACCTAACTCAATGAAAGTGTTTTAACTAAAAGGTTGTGGGGTTTTGCAGCAGAGATGATGGGAGTGGAGAGCAGGAATAGTTACTTTCCTGTGGGGCTGTGGATCCTCATTTCTATGAATAGTGTTTTTTGTAGTTATGACTTTGTCCGCATTAATTTTTAGGGAACCAGAGCAAATATGCAGCACACACTAAAGTCCTCTTGCTTTTTTTGGATCTGTCTTCACAATTTTCCTTGTATAGATGGAGGCTTACACTGGTAGGGCTATCAGTGTAGTTAAGCCACTCTGAATGAACTTATTGCAGTTGAAGAGGGTTCCTTTCCTGAAGGTGGGCAGGTTCATGGTGTGGGTTCCCCTTGGCTCCCATCAGAGGTACGATCGCTAATGGGAACAGCTTTTCTGTCTGGAGCCCCTGATACAGACTGTTACACCAGTCAAACCTGCTGTTCTCTTGAATACAGCTGCTGGTTTGTTTGGGGTTTTTTTGAAGAGGCGAGTTACCATCATAACCTGCTGAAAGCCTTTGCAGCTTTGTTGTTTATTGGCAAGGCCCCTACTAGCAACTTTATGCCCATGCAGAATATCATTACTTGTTTCTGGGTAAAAGAATGCCTGGTCTAGACAAGGCCATTTGCATCAGGGGAATCTAAATATGTTTGAAATTGTTCAAACATTTTCAATCTTTAGCTCATTGAATACCAGAAATTACATTCAGTGTTTTCCTAGTAAGATCTAAAATAGATCAATGTTGGCATGGCATGAAGGATGCAGGTTATTTGTTAAAGGGTCTCTTGCATTTAACTGCTGTTTTAAATGTAATAAACTGAGTGTGACATAAAAGTAAGCAAATTGATCCACGTATCAGATCCATTATTTTTCCAAAGTTAATAATACTAAGGCAGACCGCCTCACAGATATGCACAGTAAAGAACAACGCTGCTTTTAAAGGGTCTTGCAAGTGATTATTAAACCGCATCGAATTTGAAGCTGATGCAAATGAAGACCCCAGCAGCATTTCAGCGGTTGTATCTAGGTTTTGAGGTGTTTTATCTCAGGTCAACTAACCCCCCTAAGTTACTACTTCACGACACCAGAAGAAACTGCATGGGGGGAAAGAGTCATCCAGCTGTAGGATTATTTGGGTTTAGAGGACTGATGATGACAAAGTCGTATTTGTACATACGTGTACTTGAGAATTGGTTTGGGGGCAGCGTGAAGGGACCCCCAAGGTGGCTGTACTCGGGACAAATCGATTTTGGTGCGTTCTAGAGAAACACCTCGGAGCAGGCGCGGTTTTGCAGGTGGACCGGGGCCGGCTTTCACCCAGGCGTCATTTATTTCTTCACGGCGGCGGCATTTTCTTTCTCTTTCTTTGTTCCTTTAATTTTTCTCCCATTCCGCGGGGCGCCCGGCCCGGCCCGGCAGACAGAGAGCCAGCCCCCGGAGCACATGTGCGTGTCACCGCCGGGCTGCCTGCTACATGATAAATGTTTATTCTTTTATATTTCACTCTTCTGTCCTAGGTTACTACTGCCTTTATCTAATTCATCCATTAAGCCAATCCCTTATTCTTTTATCTTTTCTTTTTGCTTGAATTGTAATATAAGAGGTTTAGCATAAATTGGTGTCCCAACTATGTATATCATAACTGATGATTTTTAATCCAACATGTTTTTTTTATTGTAAGTAATCATGGAGTTTTGTAATTCAAACATCTCTGCAATTTTGCAACATGTATATTTTGTCAGACACTGTTGATTAGAAAGTTATTGGTGCCCCCCCCAGCCTGAAACTACTATTAAATTTTACCTCCAGTTGTTTAGTTCATAGTGAACAACTTGGTATTAATTTTCTGTATTTTATCCTTCTATTCATGTTTATTTTGTCTTTATTCTGACTGGATGTTTTGCCTAAAAGTATCACTCTGAACAAATCATTCCTTCATTAATGGATTAAAATACAGTAGCAAATGGCATAGGAATACCTTCTAAAACGTGTGGGCTCTTCCTGTCTAAAGTTTATTACAGAGGGCTTGGATTTAAAAATCAGGCTCACCAGATGCATCACATAGTGCCTGCAGAGCAGAAGCTGTCTCCTGTGTAGTCCAGGTCCTCAGAAAGGACGGGTTTCACCAGGGTCAGAGCTATCAACAAGTCCAGCTATAGCAGCTGGCAGGAGGGAGAGGCACACACCCCTGCCTTATCAGTTGACTGAAAAACTGCTTTCTATCATGTCTTTTTGCTTCTCCCTTAGAAATCCTTTTTTTTTTTTTTTTTT